TGTCACTGCTGCCTTGGACCATGACATGGCACAGCATGGCCAGGTCTGTTTCAGCCCAGGAGCCTGACAAGATCTGTGATTAGGTGCCACCTCTGTCTCCTCTGAGCCTTTCCTCCTCAGAAGCTGGGGCTGCCAGCAAATGGGAGATTACCCAGGCTTACCATCTCCACCTGAGGTTATGCTGGCAAACCATCCCGTCCAGTGTACTGGCGTCTCTGAGTATTGCTAGGTGCAGGCAGGCCACTTACTGGGGCAGTTAGAACACTGGAGGAGGGGGTTAGACTATCTCCAGCGGTTTGGGGGCCAGAGATGGAGCCACACAGAAGCATCTGGAGAAGGGCCTGGTTTTCCTGCAGCTTTCCCCAGGGAGTTGGAAGTATCACATAGGCCACTGTGACAGAGGGGAAGCCCTGGGTCAGCCACTTATTTATTAGCTTTGTGACTTTGTCCAAGTCATACAACCTCTCTGATCAGGCCAAGTCTGTCATGGGCCAAATGGAAATAGTAATTATTCTGTGAGGGCCCACTTCACTGGGCTCCTAGAGGGACACAAAACATTTCTGAGGTAGAAGTAGCTTGTAGCCCCGAATGCAGGCAGATGAGGGTAATGATGTTATGGAGAAAACCAGGCAAGCAGCTGTTGAACACCTGGAGGTGTGTGGTGGCAGTCACAGAAGAAGTTCAAGGCCTGGTCCAGTTGGGGAGGGACAGTGCTGAGGAGCATGAGGAAGTGGTAATGAAGTGCTTATTTCACACTTAATGACGTCACTCATTTATCAGTTGGTGCTGAAATCAGTTTTAGGGGCTTGTGACCAGCATTAAAAAATGAATAGGCTGGGCTTGGTGGCTCACACCTGTAATCCCAGCACTTTGGAAAGCCGAGGTGGGCAGATCACCTGAGGTTCGAGACCAGCCTAACCAACATGGAGAAACCCTGTCTCTATTAAAAATACAAAATTAGTCGGGCGTGGTGGCACATGCCTGGAATCCCAGCTACTCAGGGGACTAAAGCAGGAGAATGTCTTGAACCTGGGAGGTGGAGGTTGTAGTGAGCTAAGATCCTGCCATTGCACTCCAGCCTGGGCAACAAGAGTAAAACTTTGTCTCAAAAAAAAAAAAAAAAAAGAAAGGAATAGAATAATATAAAACCAATCTGGAAATATCAGAGTGCATTAGTACATGTTAGGGCAACTTGTTTCCTAAAATGTATTCTGGCTCTGTGTGTGTGTGGGGCGGGGAGGTGTCTCAGTTTAGAAAGTATGAGAAATGGTGTTTTGAGCCAGGCTGAAGGTCTTCAGGTTGGAGGACAGTTAACATGATCTGGGCAGGCAGGCAGGCATGCAGGCTGTGTCTGGACAGGCATGCAGGCTGTGTGGAGGCTGAGGGCTTGGCCTGTGGAGGCAGCAAAGTGTATAGGGGTCAAGAGCATGAGCTGTAGAGTCAGTCAGTCCTGGGTTTGAGTCCCAGCTCTGCCACTTATAGCTACACGGTCTTAAGGAAAACTCTTAACCTTACTAAGCCTTGGATTTTACTTTAAAATGGGGAGAATGATGTTATAGTAGCGTTATTATGAAAGGTACATGTGATAAAGGTATGTGAAGCATTGAGTAGAAAATTAGTAAGTAGTAACTCATCTACAAATGGTAACGACTGTTGCTGATATTATTATTGTTGTATTTGTGGATTTTAGTGTCATATTGGGCTCTGAAGGGCTACTGTCACTTGGAAAAGGGAGAAGAAAGGGCCTTCAGGTAGGGATGAGTGGATTATGAGGGATAAGCATGTGTATGCCTGGTATGGGAGGGGTCTGAGAACTGTGTGGCCTCAAAGGGGTAATGAGATTACAGGTAGAAGATATTAGGACAATGTTGGCTTAACTGGGGAAGAAAGTTTTAGCAGTGGAAACTGTTTAACAATAGGGTGACTTTGCCTGGAGGTAAGGAAGATCTATCCCTGGTTGAGTTCCAGCAGTGGCTGAGCCACAAGAGACTGGTGTCACTTGGCCCTTTTGGCTTCAGAGACTCCCTCAGGCTACCCTAAGGAAGGAGGGGTTTTCTGGAGGATGAGTGAGGCCCCTAGATTTGCGACACCACCCCCCCCCCCCCCGGCCCCGTGGGCCATTTGGTCCCTTATACTGGGCCAGCTTCTCTCTCACTAGCAGCTGGTTCATGTCCTTTCCATTGTCAGGAGGAAGCCACCTCAGGGCTTTACACTGTCACATTGTTTTCAGGGACCCCTCTGGCTCCAGGTTTATCTCACAGCTCCTCTCTAGGCATCCTTAGAGGATCAAATTCATAAGATAGGCTGGGCACAATGGCTCACGTCTATAATCCCAGCACTTTGGGAGGCCGAGGTGGACGGATCATGAGGTTAAATCGAGACCATCCTGGCCAACATGGTGAAACCCTGTCTCTACTGAAAATACAACATTAGCTGGGCGTGGTGGTGCGTGCCTGTAATCCCAGTTACTCGGGAAGCTGAGGCAGGAGAATAATTTGAACTGGGAGGCAGAGGTTGCAGTGAGCTGAGATTGCGCCACTGCGCTCCAGCCTGTCAACAGAAGGAGACTCTGTCTCAAACAAACAAAAAAAATTCATAAGATAGGCTGTGCAAGCATATAGGGAAACAGGCTCAGAGAAGGAAGGGGACTTGACTATTGTAGAAAGGATTTCCATATCAGACAGCAATTGGATCAGATGTTTTCTAAGATCCTGACTGGGTTAACTGAAGGATATGTGAATCTTCTGATATTTAAAAAATAGCCTGCGATGTTTCAGGAGCACATCCTGTGCCTAGAGACATCTACCTGCAGTTAGAGAGCACAGGGTATGCTGAGTGCTGGATACAGCCAGACCTCCAGGGTCTCCTTCTCACCATCTCCAGGTAGATTAAACTCCTCTGCTGTTAAAGGAAAAGCCATTCAAATGACCACATTGCCTCAAAATGTTCCCAGTTTAAGATTTTAAAAACCAAAACAGATCTTTCCATTGACATGTACATTTAAAGTAGTAGTGGGTTGTTTTGTTTCTGAGATGATCTTGCCAAATTAATGGTGTAGCTTAAAATCAGTGGTGTCTTAGAATCCAGGAAATATGGTAGTTTGTTTTGTACTCTTTTGAAATTCCGGTTTGAGGTTTGACATTGGGGGTTTGAAACTGCCAAAGCTGTTATCTGGCATCAGTTAAAAGAACTGTCAATTTAACATGTTCCTCTGTGTATCTGCAGTTGGGAGAATGGGTGGCTCTGAGTCCCTGCAGTTAGATTTTATCAATAAAGCCAGACTGAGGGGTGAGATATCAAATAGACATAGTTAATCACCTGTGAGTTCTTTGGAAACTGGTAATCTCAAGTGAAAACGTGGCCCTCTGTAAGCCTCAGTTTCTTCATCTGTGCAGTGGGGATATTGGATCAGCCATGATATACATCCATAACTGCCAGAACTTCCTGTTGACTCGGTTTGGGCACCCTTCTGACTGGTTAACTAAGAAGGCTCATCCCCTGACTTGTTGCATAAGCAGTGCCTTATAGGTGGTGGTATCATGGCCGGGGAGGTATGGGCCCTTAGTTTCTGCTCCTGTGATGTTTGGGGGTTGCCTGTAGATACATATCCCTTTGTAAATTACCTGACCCTTTGTAAAGGCATGTCCATGATTTGCTGTTATCAAGAAAAGCAAGGAAAGGAGTAACCTCATGGCCTAGTTCTGCCTCTAGGTGGTTCAAGATGGAGTGACTTGTATCCATGTGTTGAGGAGACCGCCTTTGCCTAGGCTGTAGTCCTTCCTCAGACGTTCAGCTTCAAGGCTGCTCTCAGGCCTAGGCAATTCCCCAGATAAAATGCACTGAAGAAGACCTTTGCTTTTGTGTCTTAGAGGCCTCAGCTCTGCCAGGGCCCCTCCCTCCGCTCGTCCAACCAGTAAAAGTCACAGCAGCACATTTCCTTCCGGCAGAGAGAGAATCAGAGACTCAGGCCTGGGCCAAGCCCCAGCCCCACCGTGTCCTGTTCCTGAGAACCTCCTCTGAGCTGCCTCCAACCCTGTGCCCCTTTCTGAGAGGTCAGGCAGCACTGTATGCTGACTCTTGGCTAGGACCTGACTTGGATATGAATCTGGGTTTTTCCACTGATTTGCTGTTGGACGCTGAGCAAGATAGCTTCCCTGGGTATCTTACTTCTCTGAGCCTGTGTCCCATCTGTCATAATATCTTATTCTGTTAAGAAAGCACAAAAAAGCACCTTGGTGCTGAGGTGTTTTCCCCATATTCAGTGCCCACCAGAACATCGACTCCATGAGGGTCAGGACTTGGTTCTAATCATCGGAAGGCATCTCCACAACTCGCCAGGAGGCCCTAACCCTAGAACAGTGCCAACACAGCTGTGCTCGCTGCCTAGTCAGTAGATCTACAAATATAAGAAGTGGTATTTGATGGGACTTTGAAGTGTGTGTAGGATTTTGATGGGTGGAGACAATTTGGGAAGCATTCCGGCAAAGGGACTGGCCTGAGTAAAGGCTGAGAGGTGGGAAAGGGCCAGGGCATAATTGGGGAAACTCTGAGTAATGAGTTTGGCTCAAGTAAAGAGGTAAGCATGTTATTTCTGTACTCGTTGGACTAGTTTTTGTGTTCAACTCTGCACCTTGTACATAGGCCCTCCGAAGAGGCTTGTTGACTACAGCAGACCCAGGACAGGAATGCTTTGCTTTGATGCACAGATGCAGACACTCACTCAGCCTCTGCCTCAGAGAGGCACGTGGCCCCTGACCACATTAGGGGAGTAGGCACTTGAACCACCTGCTGTCTCTAGCTTATGGCTTGAGGTCGTGGGTGGGGAGGTGGCGTGTTTCCTCTCATCTGCCATAGGACAGTCCTGAGGTAGCTGTCCTGAAGGGAACAGCAGGGATGGTAGGCAGGAAGAAGGGAGGTCTGACCAGGCTGGTGGCTGGGAACGAAGCCAGGGCCTTTGCTTCCCTTGGCGCCTCTCACAGGCCCTGCCCTCTGCTCCACAGGCTGGAGGAAGTCCCCCTGGAGGTGCTGAGGCAGAGGGAGTCCAAGTGGCTGGACATGCTCAACAACTGGGACAAATGGATGGCCAAGAAGCACAAAAAGGTGAGGGGCCTGGCCTCAGGTCTCGGACTGGGACTTGGCAGCCTGGGGAGGAGGAGGAAGAGGGAGGAACTTCATCAGCTTAGGAAAGCAGGGGCTTCTCCAACAGCCAGATGCCTTAGGTGTCTTCCAACTGCCACTGAAAGACAGAAGCTGGCCTGAGGGCAGGGGGAAGGTTGGGCCCTCGCAGATGACTTCAGATTCATGCAGAATATTGTCCTGTAGTTAAACCTCAAAGCCTCTCCTAGCCAACAGCTGCAACACAGCTTTCCTGTAGCCTTCCCAGGAGGTCTGAAGTGCTGCTTACTAGCTATCAAGGAGGACTTCATAATACTGCCGGCAGCTAGCGTGTATGGAACATGCGCTTTGGTGCTGAGACAATTCCTTACAGTACCCTAGTATGAGGTTAGTAATAGTAGTATCCCCACTTTACTGATTACCTTGTCATCCAGATTTGAACCCAAGCAGTGTACCTTTAGCACCTGCCCTCTTAGCCGCCACAGTACGAGGCCTTCCTTACCCTCTAGATTAATTTGATGACTTCCCTGTTGACTCCTGACCAAAGCAAAAAGAAAGAAGTACCCTCACATTTTAATAATAGTCTTAATAAAATGAAATCACCCGGAAGTCCTTTTCGAGTTAGGCTGTCTTCAGACACTAGCTCTATCGCCCTGTGGGAATGTTCTTGCCCACCACTCTTAAGTGTGTGTGTTGATGTCCTTGGTATTCCTCATCATGGTGTAGTTACTGCCTGGCCTAGAGGGGGCCTGTTCCAAGCCTCACAGCTGGGGTCTCTCTGTACAAGTTTTCAATGCACAGAATGAACCCTATTGCCCGCTTTCATCATCTGACACTCTAGCATGGTCCAGGCTGGCACAGATGGCTGCAAGGCCTCACAGAAAGCCCAGGACTGATGGTCAGGTATATAGACTTGGGCCCAGCCTCACGCCTTTCCTCTCTTCACACCTGTGGCTAACTGTGGAACTTCTGCACAAGTCACTTCACCATCTCAGCCTCAGTTTCTCTGGCCAAGCGGGAGTGATAATCCTGTTGCTCCACGAAGTGGTGGTAAGTGCTACAGAGACTGCGTCAGAGGCTGAAGCCCTGTGCTGTGAGAGGAGAGGCTCACCCAGACCTGGGCTCCTGCTTGCTGTTCTCTCTTTTTATTTTTTGAGACTGAGTCTCGCTCTGTCACCCAGGCTGGAATGCAGTAGTGTGATCTCAGCTAACTGCAACCTCTGCCTCCCAGGTTCAAGTGATTCTCCTGCCTCAACCTCCCGAGTAGCTGAGACTACAGGCGCATGCCACCATGCCCAGCTAATTTTTTGTGTTTTTAGTAGAAGCTTGGTTTCACCATATTGGCCAGGATGGTCTTGATCTCCTGACCTCGTGATTCGCCTGCCTCGGCCTCCCAAAATGCTGGTATTACAGGTGTGAGTCACCCCGCCCAGCCCTCTATCTCCTTTTATTTGTTTATTGATTGATTGGTTGATTGAGACAGGGTCTCACTCTGTCACCCAGACTGGAGAGCAGCAGCATGATCTTGGCTCACTGTAGCCTCAACCTCCTAGACTCAAGTGATCCTCCCACCTCGGCTTCCCGAATAGCTGGGACTGCAGGCACATGCCACCACACCTGGCTAATTTTTGTATTTTTCATAGAGATGGGGTTTCGCCATGTTGCCCAGGCCAGTTTTGAACTCTTGAGCTCAAGCAATCCATCTGCCTTGGCCTCCCAAAGTGCTGGAATTACAGGCATGAGCCGCCACACCCAGACTATCTCTCTCTCTTTTTTTTTTTTTTTTTTAACAATGTTAAGACAGTTATTCCTCAGCTGCTTCCTGCCTGACTCTGGGTCTGTTTGCCTCCCTCATCGTTCCTCTGGCTCGTACCCTGATCTGTAGCTTGCTCTGCAACAATCTGTTTTGGTGACTGGTGGTTGGCAGGGACCGTCAGCGTTCTTGAAAATAGGGATTCCAGAGGGGAGCTTTGGGGAGCACCTCTCAGCAGAGAAGCAGCTGGCACTTCCCCTTTTCTTGTCTGGCACTGTGGTTAGAGCCCGAGGCCTGCCTCTGCCCAGCTGAGGCCTCCACAGGAAGTGCTTCAATCCACCGTGCCCAGAGGCCCCAACCCACTGTTTCTCTGCAGTCCAGAACTACCCCCTGGGTGTCCCTCCTGCCACCTCAGCTGTGGCCACACCGGGCCCTGCCCTGGGGGCTCTTCCAGCCTGCCTGTGGAAGCTTGAGTTCTTCCTCTGGTCAGGAAGTCCTGGCACAGGAAGGATAATACCTGTTTCAGGAAGTGGGCTCATACCTAGTTCTGCTGGGAGGGTGGCTTCCTTTCCCTGACTCCTAGCCATGTCTAGGACAGAATTCTGGTCCTGCAGGGAGGCAGGGCTGGGGCTGGAATGCTGTCTTCCCGCAGGGCCCTGCCCTCCCTGAGTTCAGCAGGCAAGGGTGTGGCCTCACTCAGCTTTCATCAGAGACCTCCTTTCTCAAGGCCTGGCCTCAGAGAATGGTAATCCTTTGTGGTTTCTGGGAATACTTTCTCATGCTTTATCCTTACTGGTCCCCACAATCCTCCCTAACGCAGGCGGGGTAGGGATGACCCCCTGCAGCACCTTTATGCTGAGGAGGGCACAGTGGGAAAGGCTGGCTGTGCTCCCAGCTCTTCACTCCCCATGAAGTGTTCCATGGCTCTCCTGGAGGAAGCCAAGTATGATGGGGGCTGCAATGACGTGGGGCTGCCTCTTGCTGAGCTTGGCTCTGTGGGAGAGCCTAAAGGGCCTGTGGCTTTGGGCTAAAGCACATCCTTTTGCCAAAGGCTGCCCAAGTTGGCTTCCTTAGGGAGACCCTTGTCCCACAGCTGCAGGAAACTTCCTTGAGTCTAGGGCAGTTCCCTTCAGCTCCCTTCCTCTGCCTCCTTTCTAGGCAGTCCCAGCAGCTCTCACTTGGCACCTATGACCAGCCACTGATATTCTCCCCCCACCACCCTCAGCCTGTCTGCCTGGCTCCTTCCTGGTTCTTGACTCTCTCTGACCCTTGGAAAGTTTTCTGTTGTTTGCACTGGTCATCAGGAAGGCCAGGGCTTCTGTGCTCCCTCCTCGGAGAGCTTCCAGCGGGACTGTTGAAGGGAGTTTCTAGGTGAGGGTAAGTTAGGTGTGAGCTGAGGCCCTGGGCTTCTGTGTCAAGCATCCTCCTGGGATGGAGGGGCAGAAAGGAAGCCATCACGTACTGAACACAGACTGCATAGACTGTGTTTCAGGCCCCACGCTAAGCACATTTTCCCCCTCTAATGGATTCTTTCCACAGCTCTGCACAGTAGTAGATATTATCATTTGGATCTTACAGTTGAGAAGTGGTTGGCTCAAGTTCAGTGCTAGATTCAAACCCACATCCAGATGTTCTTATGCCCCGAGTGCCCATCCCCTTTATCACAGGTCGGGCTGCTTAGGGCAGGGGTTGAGGGAATATCATTGGCCATCTCATCCCTCTGCCACCACAACACTTCACAGGAGTGATGCCTCTGCCTTTGTCCTCACCTTCCTTGACAGGTCAGGGCAACTGCCTTCAGAGCCTCGTTCTGGTCCCAAGCCCAGGAGGAGCCCACTAGTGAAGTGGAAAGTACACGGGGCTGGATCCCTCCAGCCTGTGCAGTACAGCTAGGAGGTAGTAGGGTCTCTGATTGTATGACGAATTTATCTGCACTCTGCTTATGTGATGTAATTTCCCGCATAAATTTTCCCCCACCCTCAATTCCCCGATTGTAAAAGACATGATAGTTTTGATAGTTTTTCAAACTGAGTTTTGCCAGTGGAAAACTTTTCCTGATTAAAACAGCCGGAATTGAGCACTAGCTCTGGGTCATGAGCTGCCTCAAATACTCCCTCCCTCACTACTTCCATTCTGTGAGTGGCAGGGAAGACCTGGGCCATTTTAGCAAGGGCTGAGATCAGGACTCACACCCAGACCAGCCGTCTATCCCCCAGGCCGGTGATCCTGAAAGCTCAGTGTCAACAAGAGGAGAGAGGGGATTCTTGACCAAAACAAAGATGGAGCCATTTGAGCAGCCCCCATCTTCCTTCTGGGTTCTGTTGAGATTTCTCCCCGCTAGGCTGATGGTGTCTTGCCACATGGCTGCTGAAACCAACACACCCGCATGAAAGTGCCCGGGGCACACCTCTGAGCACATTCTGGTTCATCGCATGAGCTACCTTCCCTGTGGCTGTAGCTGAGCCCCACACAGTGCAGTGCCCTCCCTGGGGACAGACTATGGGGTTCACCCAACTAGTATGGTCCTTTTTTCTTTTTCCGAGGCAGAGTATCGCTCTATCGCCCAGGCTGGAGTGCAACCTCCGCCTCCCAGGTTCAACCAATTCTCCCGCCTCAGCCTCCCAAGTAGCTGGGATTCCAGGTACCCGCCACCATACCTGGCCAATTTTTTGCATTTTTAGTAGAGATGGGGCTTCACCATGTTGGCCAGGCCAATCTTGAACTCCTGACGTCAAATGATCTACCCTCCTCGGCCTCCCAAAGTACTGGGATTACAGGCGTGAGCCACCGTGCCCAGCTGTATAGTTCCATTTTGATTCAGAAGATAGTTATGAGGGTCTGGAATTCCATGGTAGACCTCAGGAATGCCTGCGTCTTCACTGGACCAGGGATGTGGGACTCTGCCATCACCTGGCATTAGCATATCTGATTGCAGTTACCTCCCCTCCCCAACTGTAGGATCTGCACAGTAGCAACAGTAGGAAAGTCCTCTTTTTTCCCCGTTTCTGCTCTTGTTGCTGTGTGCACTGAGGACCCACTGAGCACTGGCAAGGGGCTGGGCTGGGGGAGCTGCCTGGGTGGCTGCATGGTCTCAGCCGTCCTTTTGATTTTCAGATTCGTCTGCGGTGTCAAAAGGGCATCCCACCTTCTCTGCGGGGCCGTGCTTGGCAGTACCTGTCAGGAGGCAAGGTGAAGTTACAACAGAACCCTGGAAAGTTTGACGTAAGTTTCCCTTCCTTTGCTCTGCACTTCCTTCTGCATCTCTTGGTGTCTTTCCCATGGCAGCAATCCTCCACGTGCTCACCTAGACCTCACAGGATAAGCAATCTATGAAACCTCCAGTCATGTGTCCAACTCTCCAGGCCCCAGCAGCCAGACTGGCCCAGTCCTGAGTACCTGTGTCTCCTGGAGGCTTTGCACAACTGAGGCTCCAGCCCTGAGCCGCCCTCAGTGGAATGGCCAGATTTGCCACTCCCTATTCCAGCTCTTCTCTTGATGACCACTCAGGATTTGCCTTCCTGGGCTCAGTAGGCTACACCCTGCTCTTGGTCATTAGGAGAAGACACTCAAACGATTTCCCTGACTGCCTTGGGCCCCGTGGTCTGGGCCTGTGGGGGCTTGACCAGTAGGACCCCAGAACTTCAGTGCCTCCCGGCCTCCCATCCTCTACTGTTTCTCCTGCCTTGTCCAAGCCTGGCCAGCACAGCCCACCCGTGTGTCTTGTGGGGTCATCAGCCCTGGGAGTAGCAGAGCCAAACTCAAGGGAGCTGAAGAGAACTGCCTAGGTATCCCAAGGGGTCAGATGCCAGTCAGTGGCCAGAGAGGGTGCCGTCTCTTGCCATCCCTCCTCCTGTCCCAATATCCCTCCTGCTGTCCCCTGCCTCATGGCTGGCCAGAGTAAAATATCTCTCCATTCAGAGCTGGGCCACTCCTCCAGCCTGCTCCCCTAGGTAACTATGGGGAAGCAGTTGGATTCCCTGGGGTTGCCCTGGCATACCTGCCAGATCTGGCCCCAGGCATCAGGGTTTCTTGCAGGCCCTTGGGACTGGTGACAGGCAGACAGGGAGAGAGAGTAGAGCTGCCCACCACCAGCTCTCTGTTGACATACCTCATGCTTCTTCAGTGAACACTCCTGCCAAACCTGTTTCTTGAGATGGCTGGGCAGTGGCAGGGCAAGGTAGCCTAGAGTTTCTGCTGTTGACCTGGAGAGGGTGAGAGCTGTTTGCTGGCAACACTTGGCCTTGCCCGGACAGGGAAGCTGGTAGAGTGTCTGGTTGGGGTAGGTCTGAATCTGGCTGATTGGAATATTCCCCAGAGCACCAATACCAAGCCCCACTGGAGCAGCCTGTTGATTCCATAGTCTTCCTCCCATACATCTCTCCCATTTTGAGGGGCTGCATTCTGGGGAAAGTGGGAGGCTCAGGGGTGGGAGCCCCAGTCCAAGTCCATAGTTAACATCAGGCTGCCAGAGCCAGGCATGAGAGCCAAGAGCGTGGGCAGCCTGGCCAGCCTCCTGGCTGTGTGGTTCAGCAGGTGTGAGCATGTATGCAGCAGAATGCAGAGCTGTGTGCGTGTGTATGCAGAGCTGTGCTTCCAGAGAGGAATCAGCCACCCCCAGGGGGTCTGGAAGGTTGCTCGTGTGAAGAGGTGGATGTACAGAGAAGGCCTTCTTGATGCCCTGAAGCTGAGTGACGTGTTCCTGCACAGTCCTGGCGGCTGGAAGAATGGTTTGTGAGCACACTGGAAGGACTTTGCCTATGGGTGACCCAGAGGAAGCATGAGAAGCTCCCCCTGGTTGCTGTGGGTGCATACGCCAAGGCAGGGTACAGTGCGGGGCTGTGATGGCAGCAGGCACCTGTTTCTGTGCTCTCTCCCCAGAGGGCCCCCGATGTAATACCCAGTCCAGGCGGCCCCTCCCAACCTCAGCAGTCAGGGCAGCTTCTACAGGCCCTGTGGCTCCTTCTTCTTCTGCACGTGCTATTTGTTCCTCCTTTCTTTGGCAGGCAGTACCTCCGTGTCCTTTTTTTTTACCTGGTTTTCCTTTTCGTTTTGTTTTTGTTTTGAGATGGAGTCTCGCTCTGTCACCCAGACTGGAGTGCAGTGGCATGATCATGGCTCACTGCAGCCTCCGCCTCCCAGGTTCAAGTGATTCTCCTGCCTCAGCCTCCTGAGTAGCTGGGACTACAGGCATGCACTACCACACCCAGCTAATTTTTGTATTTTTAGTAGAGACAGGGTTTCACCATATTGGCCAGGCTGATCTTGAACTCCTGACCGCGTGAGCCACCACACCTGGCCTTATACCTGGTTTTCTTCTCTGGCTCCATCTTATGATGGTGCTAGTACGTCTCAGGCTGGTGGAGGCTATAGGCCCTATGACCACGGTACCTGCTTGTCTGCTGGTACCCTTTCTATCTGCGGCTTCCCCCTTTTCCTTTCTCACCAGCCATGTGAGGTCAAATGCCTTAGGCTGCTGAGATGCCTGATGAACACATTCTAGGAACTGAGTTTTGGGGTTTTCGGGTTTCTACCTCATGGGAACTGTTAGAAGAATTTGTGGGGCCCTCTTCCCCTTTCTGATGAAAGCAAACCGGCACTGTGCTCAGACAGTACCTAGAGGTGCATAGTACACAGACCCACACCTCTCCGTGTGGGCCTGCCACAGGGCCCCAGCCCCTCTCTGTCTCCTCTAGCCTGAACACTGTCAGCCACTCCTCTAATTATTTACTCTCTAGTCAAGTTCCTAGCACCCTGACACCCCCATTGAGGGGCAGAGAGGGAAAGGGGCTTGTATGAAGTCTCCTGCTGATCAGGGCAGGGCCTGAGTCTGCACGCATTGGGTGTGTCTGCTGATGACCTGGCCTCCTTCCTGAGGGCCTGGTGTTGCCCCAGACCTGCAGGCAATTTGTACTTAAACCGGCACCTCCATGGAAGTGCCTGGGCCAGTCGGGCACGGTGGTTCACACCTGTAATCCCAGCACTTTGGGAGGCTGAGGTGGGTAGATCACAAGGTCAGGAGTTCAAGACCAGTCTGGCCAACATAGTGAAACCCCATCTCTACTAAAAATACAAAAAATTACCCATGTGTCGTGGTGTGTGCCTATAATCCTAGCTACTCAGGAGGCTGAGGCAGGAGAATCACGTGAACTCAGAGGCAGAGGTTGCAGTGAGCCTAGATCACGCCAATGCACTGCAGCCTGGGCAAGAGTGAAAGACTCTGTCTCAAAAAAAAAAAAGTGACTGGGCCATGCCTTTGAGCACATTCTGGTTTGTCTCATGAGTACTCTGCTTCCCTTTTCAGCCCTATGGGTTTTCTCTTTATTTACTTTTTCTTTCTTTTTTAAAAATTGAGGTATGCATTTACATAGAGTAAAATGCACAGATCAGTGAGTTTTGATAAATAATACACATCCATGTAACCAACATGCAAATCAAGGTAGAGAACATTTCAAATGCCCAAGAAAAGATTTTCTGTTTTGTAATGGCTTTGTTATTTTGTAAAGGTGCACATACTGAAATGTTCACAGAAGTTCAAAAGAAAGAGTAAAACTTTGTTGAAACCCCGGCACCCAGAGAAGTATCTGAGGTTAATGGTTTGACAGATGTCATGTCCTTCCAGAAAGAGCTCTGTACAGATCTCACACATACCCCCCTTCCTGGAGAGGTGACGCCACCCGCCTGGGGAGGCGCTCAGCAGAGGAGCTGGGTTGGACGGTTCGAGTCAGACCTGGCCTCCAGTCCCAACTCCACCATTTTTCTAGCCATGAGGCCTTGACACTCAGTTTTCTCATCTGCAAACAGGCTGTAATGATAGGTCCTGTCTCTGGAGGTTGAGGAGAACGATCAGTGAGGCCCACAGGTACCCTGTGCCCAGCTTAGTGCCTGGCTTGGAGAAGTGGGAATAGCTGGTAGCTATTGCTCAGAGAAGCAGCTTTCTGTCTTAAGGATGTGACATAATGTATCTAACCAAGTTCTGAATAAAATGTCTGAAGGTCCTTCCAGCTACAGCTCGAGTGGACACTCTTGCCCTCATCGGTCTCCTAAAGCCAGGTTTAAGGTTTCCAGGGCGCTTCCCTCCTTGCCCCCTTGCCCCTGTCCAGGAATCCTTACCTGAGCTTATCTTCCTGTCCTTGGGAAGGCCCATTCTGTGAGGGGATTGGGTGGGCACTGCCCCCAGTGGAGGGCCCCCTCCCCTAATCCCTCGGCAGCCATGTCCTGTCAGCAATGCCCACCTCCATCCTCCCCAGCCCCTAATATGTGCCCTTGCTTCTAGGAGCTGGACATGTCCCCTGGGGATCCCAAGTGGCTGGACGTGATTGAGCGTGACCTGCACCGGCAGTTCCCTTTCCATGAGATGTTTGTGTCCCGGGGTGGCCATGGGTGAGCAGGCTGGGCCTTGGGAGGTGGCTCTAGGTCCTGTCTCCAAAGGGGTCTGAGGAGGGACAGTGAGTTCAGAGATTCAGAAGTTGGGTGTCCCCAGCTCCATTGTCAGCATTTCTGTTTTTTTGTTTTGAGTCTGATGTGTGCTGTCGGCATCTCCTCTTACCTCTGGGGTGGTTTCATCATTGACTCTAGAGTGTTAGAGGTTGCCCGGCCTGGCCCTCTTCGGAATACAGGTTTTGTTGGGGAGAAAGAGGGACAGAGGGAGTTGGGTGAGTGGAGGGTATGCAGGGGAGAGATGGGGCAGCCAAGGGGACCAAGACAGACACAGGGGACAAAGCTGGCCTGGCCGAGGGGCCACAGCTGCTGAGTGAGGGGCCCCTACTTCCAGCCCTGACACAGCCTTACATCCGCCCTGGCCCTGCTCCCTTTCTCTTTGAGCCTCTGCCCTCACCTGTCATAGGGAAGCCCTTCCCCACCTCCTTCCCCGGGCACGTGAAAGTCCAGGTGCTGCAGTAGGAGACTGACCCCTTGGTGACCACAAGCAGATCACCTCACCTCTCAAGGGAAGTGCAGATTCTAAGGCAGGCTGGTCCAGTGGGGAATGGGTGAAGGCCGTGAGTAGCAGAGTCACCCTGGTCATCACTGCTCTACCCGGCCTCTCCACAGCCAGCAGGACCTATTCCGTGTGCTGAAGGCCTACACGCTGTACCGACCTGAGGAGGGCTATTGCCAGGCCCAGGCGCCCATTGCCGCCGTCTTGCTCATGCACATGCCTGCTGAGGTACCTACCACCAGGCCCCAGGCAGGCAGGGGGTGGGTGGGGAACCCCCAACAGCAAGGCCTCACGTCTCTCTTGCCCACAGCAAGCCTTCTGGTGCCTGGTACAGATCTGTGAGAAGTACCTGCCTGGCTACTACAGTGAGAAACTGGTGAGTGGTCGCCTGACCTGGGACCTGCCCCAGGCTGGACACCCTCTGTGGCCCCTCCAGGCCCTTCTCTCATGGTGACTCCTGCCCAGGTTAAAACCTTCCCCGCCAACATGGTGAAACCCTGGCTCTACTAAAAATACAAAAATTAGCCGGGCGTGGTGATGCACGCCTGTAGTCCCAGCTACTCGGGAGGCTGAGGCAGGAGAATCACTCGAACCTGGGAGGCAGAGGTTGCAGTGAGCGGAGATTGTCTTACTGCACTCCAGGCTGGCAACAGAGCAAGACTCCATCTCAAGAAAAAAAAAAAAAAAGAAAAAAGAACCTTCCCAGTCTTCTGTTGCCTTCAGGCTGAAGTCCCAAGGCCTGCCGAGGTTAGGTCTCTTGGGGTGCGACGTTATCCCTTCCATGCTGCCTTTCATCTCAGCCTCTAGCTGCTCTGGCCACTTGGCAGGATTGAAATTCTTCCAGGGCACCAAGTTCCTCCCTGCCTTGGCTTTAGCCTTGGCCTTGGCCTAGGCTAAAATCTGCCTGGAAGCTCCTATCCCTGTGCTCTGAAAACTTCTCTTTTGCTTCAGCTTTTAGCCCTCAGGGAGCTTCCTTGACCCTGACAGGCAGGACCCTCCAGCAAATGCTTCAGAGCAGTCCTGCTCCTGCCTTGCTGTGCGCACTCAGCCCTCCCCCTCCCCTAGCTGCTTTTGCTCATGTGCCCTTCTCAGGATAAGCTCCCCCAGGGGACCAGCTGGCTCTGGTTTGCTCATCATCTTATCCTAGCACCTGGCAGAGGCTGATACCCTGCAGGCAGTTGCTGCCTGAGCCTGCTGGGTGCTAGGGTACAGTCCCTGCCCTGGCTCCTGCTGCCCACCGTCATGGCCCCATGGCCTCGATGTCTCCCCAGGAGGCGATCCAGCTGGACGGGGAGATCCTCTTCTCACTCTTGCAGAAGGTGTCACCAGTGGCCCACAAGCACCTCAGCCGACAGAAAATCGACCCGCTCCTCTACATGACAGAGTGGTTCATGTGCGCCTTCTCCCGAACCTTGCCCTGGAGCTCTGTGCTGCGCGTCTGGGACATGTTCTTCTGCGAAGGTACTGGGCTGGTCTTGGGGGCAGCATCCCTGTCCCCAGCAGCCCACAGGGGGGCCTCTTTCCAGAGAAACCCCCAAAAGGCCCATTGCACTTACTACCCACCCCCCATGCAGGAGTCAAGATCATCTTCCGGGTGGGGTTGGTGCTGCTAAAGCATGCGCTGGGCTCCCCCGAGAAGGTCAAAGCCTGCCAGGGCCAGTACGAGACGATCGAGCGACTGCGGAGCCTCAGCCCCAAGATCATGCAGGAGGCCTTCCTGGTCCAGGAGGTACAGCCCATGCCTGCTCCTTGTCACAGGGAGGGAGGAAGACAGGTGGGGGATCCTTTGAAGGGGGTCCCACTAACCCTCAGCTCCTGAAGGTGGGTCACCTATGCCAGGACCATTGCTATGTGGCCCAGAACGTGTGGGTGGACCTCATCCTTCTGTCTGGTGTAGAGCTAGGGCACAAAGAGGCCTAGCTCTACAGGGCCTTCTGGATCTGCTTGGGAATGAAGAGGAGTGGCAACCCACACCCCTTCTTTCTCCCTGGCACCCAATTCACAGTCTTAGCTCTATTTCCCTTGCTTCTTTCTTTATGGATACTTGTCTCTCAGGGGCTATAATTAGGTAGCACATGCATGGGCATATTTACACATGAGGAAATGGAGGCTCACAGAGGCAGGATCACTAAGCAACTCCCCCTAAAGTCACCCAGCTAGAAGGTGGTGGAGCTGGAATTTCAGCCTAAGCAACCAGGCTGCCCTGGGCAGTGGTGGGGGACACATTGGCAGAGAGCAGGTTTTTTTCTGTCTGGGTCTTATCCCTTTGGCCCCATAGTCGGGCAGGTGGACTCGTGAAGCTGTGGGCAGCTTTCCCCTCTGAGGTGGTGGATCTCAAATGTCCAGCTTACCTGGCACTCAGCTCTGGGGCTTGTGACTGCAGCTTGGGACTAGACTCTCATCCTTCCTGGGGTCAGTGTTTAGTGGCCAGGGCTGGGGGATGCTGAGGGAGACTAGGGGCCCAGGGTGGGAGGCAGAAGGAGAAGGTCCTTCTTCTTGGTGCCCACTTGCCTCGCACTGCCCCCGCAGGTGGTGGAGTTGCCCGTGACAGAGCGCCAGATTGAGCGCGAACACCTCATCCAGCTGCGGCGCTGGCAGGAGACCCGGGGTGAGCTGCAGTGCCGCTCCCCACCGAGGCTGCATGGTGCCAAGGCCATCTTGGATGCAGAACCTGGTCCCCGGCCCACCCTACAACCTTCACCGTCCATCCGCCTCCCCCCAGATGCCCCTCTCCCTGGTTCCAAAGCCAAGTCCAAGCCATCCAAGCAAGCCCAGAAGGAGCAGCAGAAGCAGATAAAGGCGAGAGGGCAGCCAGAGAAGCCCCCAGCCCCAGATCAAGCCATGGTGGAGGCCGCTGCAGGAGATGCCTATCCCCCACAGCATATGCCCCCGAATGACTCAGCCCCCCAGGTCTCAGCCCCTCAGGTCTCAGCTCCTCAGGACTCAGCCCCCCAGGCTTCAGCCCCTCAGGATTCAGCTCCCCAGGTCTCAACCCACCACCGCTCCCAGGAGAGCCTGACGTCCCAAGAGAGTGAGGACACCTACTTGTAACCCTGGCAGCTCAGGCCTCCAGGGCGGGGTCTCCACACACCTACACGGTTCATGAACTGACATTCCACGGCCTGCCCACCCTCTGAGGGCCAAGCCACCTGGTCACTGGGCTGGGCTGGAGTCTGGCTGGTCCAACACAGATTCTGCCTGAGCCTCCTTATTTATTTTCTTTACAGTGGCACTCGGGCTGGTCCAGCCAGGGCAGGCAGAAGCTAGGGACCAGGGGGTGGGGCCTCCTTCAGCCCCCTCCTCCTAGGGGATGCTCCCCAGGGCTAGGGTGCTGGGGTGAGGGGAAAGGGTGGGGTGTTCTTTGTGTAAAATAGAAACATGGTTTTGTACAGAAATAAACAGCCTTGTGTAGAGAGCTGGTGTGCAGCCAGGGGCTGGGAAGTGGGTACCACCTTGGTCACCTTGGTGCTCAGCATCTCTTCTCTTTGCCCTAAAGAGCCCCTCCTCCTGGGCCCCAGCCCAGCACCAGAGCCTCTCTGAGAGGTACCTTTGCCAGAGAACATGCTGAGTCCCTGGCCAGCCTTCATTCTTAACCCCCATTTTCTTTTCTTTTTTTTTTGAGATGGAGTCTTGCTCTGTTGCCCAAGCTGGAGTACAGTGGTGCGATCTCGGCCTACTGCAATCTCCACCTCCCGGGTTCAAGCGAATCCCCTGCCTCAGCCTCCTGAGTAGCTGGGATTAAGATGCCCACCACCACACCCAGCTAATTTTTTATATTTTAGTAGAGATGTTACCATGTTGGCCAGGATGGTCCAAATCTCCTGACCTCGTGATCCTCCTGACCTCATGATCTGCCTGCCTCAGCCTCCCAAAGTGCTGGAATTACAGGAGTGAGCCACCAAGCCTGGCCATTAACCCCCATTTTCATTCACCCCATCCCCACTGCCTCATGTCTACCTTCTGCCGTAGATGAGGGACAACAGGGCTGGAGCTCAGTGCTGGGCAGAGCAGGGCATGCTCCCCAGGCCTTGGTCCTCACCCACCACCAGGGGGACAGGAACTCCTAAGGAGGATATTTCAGGGCCTTCCTCCTTCAAGGTCTGGCCTGGATGCCACCTCAGGCACCATTAAATTTCTGAGAACTCATTCTGGAGGGGTGGTGGGAGGCCTGGGGTGGAGCACCATGAATGTCCTCACAGGCTCAACCCAGGCCCTCAGGCAAAGGGGAGAGGGGCAAAGTGTGGACCTTCGATAAAATGTCAACTTCCATTTACTGAGCACTTGCCATGTGCTAGGCTGGACTGGTCAGGTAGGCTCAATTAGCCCATTTTACAGATGAAGAAACAAATAGGAGCTGAGTGGGAAAGGAACCACCCGGTCTCAGCTAGATCTGCACCAGGAGCCCCTCACTCAGCCTCCTCTCCTGACCAGGGCCCAGGAGACCTGACTGCCCTTGAGGGCCCAGGCAGGCACTTCGGTCATAACCTGATGACTGGTGAGGGCAAGGACAGGGTGTCCCTGGGAGAGGCCCCCCTTCTGCTGAGGAAGCAGCTTTTCCAGTCAAACAATAGTGCTGTTCCTGGCAGATGACCAAGCTGGGCCAGGCCAGGCCATAGGAGGAGGGGGCAGGAGAGGGAGGAGCAGAGCCTCCCTGGGAGCTTTCAGGCTTCGCCTGGGCCTGGAACATCCTGTCCTGGTACAGCTGGGGATACTGAGGCCTAGGGAGGTGAAAGAGTCTCAAGAGACTATCAAGGCAGGCCACTCCACTTCCTGCCTCCTCTCCCTCACCCCTATGGTTTCCCACCCCATCTGCACCTGCCATTGACGAGATGGGCTCAGCTTTTGAGAAGCTCCTCCTTCCCCTAGTCCTCCAGGGGACAGGCCAGGATGTGGTGGCTACACAGTGTTCCACAGGAATGTGTCAAGCCTGAGAGTCCAGGGAGGAGGCTGAGCTTGGCTTCCATCTGCCTATGGTGGGGGCTCCGGAGCAGGCAGAGGGCCTGCTCAGGCCTGCTGGGTCCCAATCAGGCCTGAGGCCTGCTTTAATCTGCTTGGTTCAAAGCCTCACATCTGAGGCCTCAGGGTGCTCGGGCCAGACAAGGGTCCCCTGGAGCATTCTCGGTCCTGCGTGGAGCCAACATGGACATGCTGATGCCTGCTCAGCCTTGGGATCTCCTTAGACCTGTGGAGGCCTGATAAGACCTGGGGTGTCTGCCAGTGCTGGGGACCTCCTTGAACATGAAGCAAATTTAGATGTGTACCTGCCAGCTAAGGGCTGCAGGCTTTGGGGCTCAAGTTTCAGGCTAGAAGTCTGAGTACCCAGTGCACCTCAGCCGCATGGGCCTGCCCCCCAAAGTCCAAGCACTGGGCATTACTGGCTGAAGCACTTCTGGGTTTTGTTTGTATCGAGGGACTTCAAGCCTTAGGCCTTGGCCACCTCTAGCCCCCAACCCAAAGTATGTCACTCAGGCAGAGGTGGCTAGGAATCTATCTCTGTGCCCCTGGTGGGGAGCCTTCTATTCTGAAAGTTGGGTGAGAGGAACAAGTGGGGCCACCAGGCCAGGTTTCAACTTGTCAGCCTCCTCGGCAAGCAGGGAGGAGTTATGTATCAATCGCAATCCAATGCTGGCGGCCCCGCCCCCTTGCAGCCCTGAGGGGAAGGAGAGCAAAAGGTGCAGGGTGGACGGCGCTGCACAGCAGACCTGTACCTCTCATCGCTCTCGGGGCTTGGGGGCAGCGCTCTGGTCCCAGACGAGCTCCAATTCGTCTCGCGGCCCTTCTGTCTCACGGACCTCAATCATAAACCCACGTGTGTGCCAGAAGGACAGAAACTTCCCCCCGCCTCTGGGAGGCTCCCATTCCCTGCAAGGCTGGCGTTCCGCGGAAAGGGCGGAGCCCTGGAAGGGGGCGCGTCAGGGGCGGGGCCTGGAGGAGTCCGACGGGGTGGGGTCTATCCCCGAGCCCGTGCTAAAAAAGGCGGAGCCATTCGGGGCGGTCTCCGTAGGCTGGAGAGAAGGATGAAGTTCTGGCTTTAGGAGGAGGCGTGACCACCCAATAGGCCTCGCTTCCCGCGGGGCGTGGCCGTCAAGGAGCCGGACGCCGCGCGGGGCTGGGCGGGTCAGCTGCGTAGCGAGCGGTGTGGACGCGGCCAAGCAGCGGCCCCTTTAAGTCCCTGGTACCACCCCCCCCGCCCCGCCTCCCTCGCGGCCTGGGTCTAGTTGGCGGCGGGGTCGGGGCCGCGCGGGTCGCGATGGAGCTGCACATCCTAGAGCACCGGGTGCGGGTGCTGAGCATCGCCCGTCCCGGTCTCTGGCTCTACACCCACCCACTCATCAAGCTGCTCTTCCTGCCCCGCCGCAGCCGGTGCGCGCCCGGGTTCTGGAGCGCAGATGGGGGCTGGGGGCTCTGCTGTCGCTCCGGGCCAGGGTCGGAGGATTAGGATCGCCTTAAGGCAGGCAGGCAGGCGGGCGGGACCGGGTGGGGAGGGCTCTCCCTCTCCGGCCGCCATCCGGCCTGGGCCTACCCTCCCCGGGACCGCCGCCTATCCGGCCCCGTGAGGCCCCCTTGCCGGGGTAAAGCGCAAACAGCTTGGGATGGGCAATGCTTATTAACTCAGTGGAGTCATATGGGGGCATTCCTACCTGGCCACAGCGGGGAGCTCCTACCAGGACGCCTCCCTTCAGGTCAGAGGGGCTGGACTAGGGGTTCCAAGGTCCGAGGCCCATAGTGCTGTCGCCGCGGGTGTGAACCTCCCCTCCCTCGAAGAGTGGAGGGGCGGAAGGCTCTGAAGAGGTTCGGGAAGCCTAAAAGCAGCTCCCGACACTGGAGATGGGGCCCTTACCCCATTGCCCTAGAAATTAACGGCCGAGGTACGGGTAGAAAGGCGCTGGGCCCGGGGTCGCGGGGGTGTCTCGGGGCAGATGGGGAGAAATCCACTCCCGACCCCCAGTTCTCCAAGCTGAAGATGCTCCCCACCCCCAACCAGGTGCAAGTTCTTCAGCCTGACGGAGACCCCTGAGGATTACACGCTTATGGTGGACGAGGAGGGCTTTAAAGGTGGGGGCTGGTCTGGGGAACTGGAGTACGGGAGGGGCTTGTCGCGCTCCACTTCTGTACGGTTCTCACCTGTTGCTGAGATCTGTCTTAAGCGCTTAAGCAAGCAGATGGGTCAGGGTTCGAATCCTACTCCACCATTCCTTGGCTGTGTGCCTTTGAGCAAATCACTTCCCCTCTCTGAGCTGTTTCTTCTAACGTAAAATGGGTACAGTTATGATTCTGATACATAGGACCCCATGAGGGCTTTATAAACTTAGCACTACTGAGGGGCACTCAGCAGTCCTAGGCCCGCAGAAGGGTCTCTGTTATGGCTCCAGGCAAGTGCTGCTGTTAGAACTCCCTGGACGTTATTTCCTCCTGGTCTTATCTCCCTGATTTGGGTCACCTCCTCCCCTGCTTGTCTGGGAACTCCAGGAGTCTGAGGGAAGGAATGCAGGAGCAGGCAGCCATCTCAGGAAAGGGTCCTGGAGGCCTCCTGGCTGTGCTGGGGCGAATAGCAGCCACCCAGGCCTGGCCCTTGCTCAGGACTGGACGCCAGCCTGGGCCCTCCCTGGGCCCTGGAGGTGACGTCTAGCGCCTCCTCCTGCTGCTGGCCCGGCCCATCCTCACAGGCTTGGAGTCTCAGGTCAGCTAACTGGAGCTTGGCCTGTCCTCCTTCTCCACTTCAGGCCTTAGTTTCCCTGTTTTTGCTGCAGGGAAGTCTGGGTCTGCAAAAGGGGAAGGCAATCCCCCAGCCAACCTGATCTGTGAATGCCCCCTGGTGGTGCCATGTGGTATAAAGCTTCTGCTAACCCACAGAACATACAGGAGTGAGGTAGATATTGTCCCATTTTACAGATGAGGAAACTGAGATTCAAATCACCCGCCCCAGGTCACAAGACAAATAAATAGAAAAGCTGGCATTTGGACCCAGGTCTCTCTGAATCTGGACCTCTGATCTTAAGTGGGAAATTTCAATGCCACCAGGCCAGCACCTGAAACCTTTCCGTCTTTGCACACATATGGACCTCAGGAGCAGAACTGAGGGAGACAGCCCCAGCCTCCAGACCTGCCCTTACCTTGATGGAGCCCTCCAAGGCACAGAGAAGGAAACAGGCTCAGAGAGGGGCAGGGGTCAGCCTTGCAGACCTTGACCAGACATGTCCCCTGCCCACAGAGCTGCCCCCATCTGAGTTCCTGCAAGTAGCTGAGGCCACATGGCTGGTGCTGAACGTGTCGTCTCACAGCGGTGCAGCAGTGCAGGCTGCTGGGGTCACCAAGATCGCCCGCTCAGTCATCGCTCCACTGGCCGAGCACCACGTGTCTGTGCTAATGCTGTCCACTTACCAGACTGACTTCATCCTGGTGAGTTTCCTGCTG